TGGAAGGCCGGCGGTTTGAACCTACCCAGCGGCTCTGTGGGAGAAAGACCTGGCAATCAGATTACATAAGGATTGATCAATGTCTTCAGCCAGCAGAGAGATGCAAATCAAAACCACAATGAGATGCCATTTCATTTCAAAGTGCTTAAACAGCTACAGATGCTAACAAAAAAGTCCGCAGTTCAAATCCACCAGTTGCTCCTACGAAGCCCTACAAGGTAGTTCTACTCTGTCCTCTAGGGTCGCTAAGAGTCAGAATCGACTCAACCACAATGGATTTTTTTTCTTAGGATGGTGAAGATGAAAAAAAAAAAAAAAGAAGAAGAAGAAAAATTAACATTTGTTGGCAAGGATGTGAGAAAATTGGAAACTTATCCACTGCTGGTGGAAATGCAAAATGGTACAGCCATTGTGAAAAATAGTTGAACAGTTCCTAAAAAAAACTAAAAACAGAACTACCATATGATCCAGCAATTCCACTGCTAGGAGTATACCCAAAGGACTTGAAAGCAGCAACAAACAGACATATGTACACTAATGTTCACTGCAGCACTATTTTATTCAAAATAGCCAAATGATGCTAACAACCTAAATGCCCATCAAAGAATGAATGGATAAATAAAACGTGGCATATACATACAATGGAATACCACTCAGCCAGAAAGAGAAATGAAGTCCTGACACATGCTACAACATGGATGGAGCTTGAAGACATTATGCTGAGTGAAATAAGTCAATCACAAAAGGACAAATATCCTATGATCTCACTTATATAAAAAGACAAGGACAGGCAAATGTACAAAACCAAAGTTCATAAGTGGTTACCAAGGGCAGGAGGGAGGGGGTAAGGGGGAGTTATTGCTTATGGAGCACTGAGTTTCTGTTTATGGTGATGGAAAATTCACATTAAGGGTAATGGCTGCATAGTCAATTAATGTAACTGAGTTCACAACATTGTACACCTGTAAAAAGTTAAGCAAGCAAGTGTTGTGTGCTATATATTTTTCCAACAATAACAAAACAAGACAAAACAAAAACAGCATCTACTGAGGCTGCTTACGTACAATCAAACACCTCATGGGATTTGGTTTCTTGGTTTGGAGATTTAGGGTCATAGTTTCATGGGACATCCCAGTTAATCAGCCTAATACTGTTTTTAGTGCTTCTGTTCTACCTCCTAGTTTGCTGTATAGTGTCTGGGGTCTTACAAGTTTGCAAGCAGGCATCCAAGGTACAACAATTGGTTTCTATTTTCGTGCAGCAACAGAAGAAGAAGGGGAGTCTGGAATAGGAGGAGGAAATGGAACGTGTGGCTAATTACCTCCATCAACAATTGCCCCCTTTGCCATGAGACCAGAAGAACTGGATGGAGCCCAGCTACCATTACTGAGTGTTTTGATCAAAGATTCTATAGAAGAATCCTGATTAAAAGGGGAGGAATGCAGAATAGAATTTAAAATTCTAATGAAATGCAAACATTCTGAAGCCAGAGAGGTTGGATGAACCTCTGAAATTATTGCCCTGAGATTATCTTTAAATCTTAAACCAAAAATATCCCCTGAAGTCTTCTTTAAATCCAACAACAGGTTACCTTAATTAGTAAAGAATGTCTGCCTTGAGCACTGTGCTCTTTTAAAGAACTATCTATATGGGATCAAATTGACAACAGCAACTCAAAAGGTTAGATGGAAGCTTAGGAGGCAGTGATTTTATGTTAATAGGGGAGGAACAATTTGGAAAAAGAGGGTGAGAATGACTGCACAACTTGAAGAATGTAATCAATGTCACTGAATTGTACACATAGAAATTGAAGTGGTGTATGTTCTACCATGTATATTCTCAACAACAATAAAAAGAAAAAATTATTATAGCCAAGAAAACCCTACAGGGCAGTTCTACTCTGTCACATGGAGTCACCGTGAGTCAGAATCAACTCGATGGCACACAACAACTCTCATTTTAGTACAGTTTCAGAAGAGAGGAGCTATGTAACCGTGTGTTTTCAAAAGACTATATCCAACCAGGAAGCAATGTCTATTATTTCTTTAAATTCTCCTCCATCTGTTCTTTTCCTCCTCCTGGAATTTCTGGCATTTTGCATGTGAGGTCTCCTGGATCTACCCTCCATCTTTCTTACTGTTTATCCATGTCTTTGTAACGTGGCTTTGTGTGGTTCAATGTTTGCTTTCATACTGACTCTCAAACCACTAATGCTATCCCCATCAGAGGGCTCTCTCTTTCAGTTCTGTGGCATTTCAAAAATAAGAAGTCAAATTTTTTAGTTTTTTAAACTTAACTGCCTCTCCATAAGAGATTTAATTGATTGATTGTTAAAATTGTTTTCTGTCTCTTCCATTAGTTCTGCCTCAGTAAGAGCTGCCTGTTCTTTTTCTTCCTCTTTCAAGTGCTGTATCTCCTTAAATGGGCTATAAGATCTCTCTGCCTACTCAGGACTTCTTTGCCTACTGAGCATCTCATTAGGACAGGCTGCGGCAAAAAAAAACAAGACAGTGAGAAAGAGCTATTCTCTTCAAGTGCATTAAGGTGAGCTAGTCTTCTCCCAGCCTCACAAATAAGGGAAGACTGGCCCACCAGTGCGGTCCTGCTCAAAATCTCCTGGGAAGAGGACTGCCCAGCCCCAATCATAACCACATACAGAGAGCAAGACTGTGCATCCAACCCTAAGGAGGGCTCTGCACTGGCATCTGCATTTTGGACCCTGTGGAAGCCCCAAAGTCCAGTATTCACCCCAAGCTTTGAGGACAGGGGCATCAGCTCTGCCCTGGCTCTCTTGGCTCTCATGCAGTCCATCTCCCTCATCTCTCCCACAAGGCTAAGCCTCACTTTCCAGGCCCCCTGACTACACTCATCCTACTCACTGTATTACTCCAGAGAGTGAGCAGAGGAGAAGCTGGGGTCAGGGGTGTGCATTCAGGCCACCATCTTCCCACCACTGCTAAAGGTTCTAAATATTCCCTCAGGGACAAAGACATCTCAGCAATTCCCATGGAGGACCAAACGTGTCATATCCTGGCTCTAAAGGTCTGAGTGGTTTAGTTCTTTCCAGCTAAAGGGTTTCTGGAGTTGGGGCTACAGTGGGTATTTTAGATAAGGGTGATCAGAGTGGCACCAAGAAAACATGGCACTTCAATAATGACCTGCATGACATGAGCAAGCCAGCCACGCAAACTCTAGAAGGGGGGCATTACAGACATAGGGAACAGCAACTGAGAAAAGGCCCGAGTATAATAGGTTTAGTGGGTTCAAAAGCAACAAGAAAAACCACGTGGCTAGAACGAAGTAAACAAAAAGAATAGTGGAAGACAAAGGCTGAGAGGTCGGCAGGGATTAGATCAAGTAGGACAAAGTAGACCATGGTAAAGAGTAGGAGCATTATTCTAAAGTGACAGGAGGTTACTAGAATCTGAGCAGGGAGGAAAGAAAAGCTGATTCACATCGTGTAAAAGATACTCTAGTTGCAATATAGAGATCAGACTGTGAGCACAAGAAATGATGTCAAAACATCTCTTGAGAAACTATTTTAGTGAAAACTGATGGTAGGCATAAGGAGCGATTAGAGGCAGTGAAACCTGAGGCCAGACTGTTAAAACAAACAGGCAAGAGTGATTTCCACTTCCGGCCATAATGGACTAACAGGGACAGGATTCATCCTTTCGTCTAAAATAATGGCAAAAAAAAAGGACAAGGTATCTGAGGGCTCAGTTTTCAAAACAATGGACACAGAAGAATGAAGAACAGTTATCCCTGAGAGAAGGAAAGAAATAAGGTTTGTTAGGAGCTTCCACCTAACCTTCAATTTGAAATGATTAATCTACAGTGTAATGACATGCTAAAAGGCAAATTAACAAGAGAACAATCTAATAGAATTCTGCAAATGTCTTCCAAGAGATTAACATACTCAGTTAAAATCATAAGCTCATAGATTGATGGTGGTATTTGGCAATACTTATCTGCGTGAAAAGACATTTTTAAAGATGAAATATGTAAAATCTCATAACATATCAGCATTAAAAGATGAACATTTGCAGTCAATTTGATTATGGGGACACTAATTTTGATCCCCAATTAAGCAACATGTTATTCCCCCACAAAAAATGAATTCCGTTCTTCTCATTAGTAGACTTATATTACAAACACGGAACTCGATTATTATTAAATCACCATTTTTTTTCTCTTGTTATGTATCTACATAATATTCTCAGATTTGCCTCTTGACCCACAAAGGCTAAAATATTTACTCTTAGAGCATTCACAGAAAAAGTTTACCAACCTCTAATCTAGATCAATCCTACTACTTCCAGGCTATACTCAGTATTCTAGAACAGGTACAAAGCTGGATCTAAAAATAGATATTAAAACATATTTTGAAGGATCATCTGGGCTTCAATGGATCATGGACAGGACAGTTCAGAAGACATTAATCAGAAATTATCAAAGTGTGAAGGAAGCTTACAGTGCATCCAGCTCAGCTCCTCCTTTTAGAAGAGGGAGTTAAAACCCAGAGAGAGTGAGGGCTCTGCCCAGCAAGAACAGACTACAGACATCCTGATTCCTGCCCTGCAACTTCCTCTACTCCATTAGGCTGTTCTTTCTGGGCCTTCAGCTCCTCATTCCAGAGTTTTTACAGTTAAAACAAATAAATAATACAGCCAAGCCACTGATCAAAGAAGGTTTCCCAAAGGTACAAACCATTACCAACTTTCATATGTTGCCCTGGATTATTCCCAGACCTAGGAGACCCCAGGCATTTCCCACCCTTCTTCAGCCCCAGAGGTCTTTCTTTAGTCCTCAGAGTTTCCAGGCTGAGATTCCAAGTGAAATATTAAACCCCCTGAAAAATCTAACAAAAAAAAAAAAAAAATGCTTTCAACACCAGGTACACGGAAACCAAGAAATATCCTATAAAAAAGCATATAAAAACATTCATAAAACAGGCAGCAAATTGAAGTTACTGATGAACTCATCAGAAAAAATCCTACCTTGCTTGGCAGCTGAGGAGTAACATCTCACGATTATGAATTAAAATATATAAAAGAACCAGGAAGGCTTTTGCTCTAATGGAAGTTGAGGGACTGTCAAGTAATCGGATAATTGTGGAGACAAAATCCTGCAGAAGAGAATTTTAAGTTTCTTGAGAACACATGAAATAAATAGGGCAACCTTAACTAAAAGGGTGAACAAATTATAATAATAAAACAAAAAAGCAGGAAATGAAACACTATCAGCTGCTATTTTTGCCTTCTTAACTGTGTCAGGCACAAACTGAATTTTTAATATGTATTATCTCATTTAACACTAAGAACTTGACAACATTATCTCTGATCTTAAAAAAAGAAAGACAAATCTTGAAGAAGTTAAGCAATCTTCCCAAGTTCACAGAGTTGGATTCTGGTCTAGGCCAGATGGACAACATAGCCTGTCAATTAACAACTCAGCCACACAATTGGAAGTGTGGCAGTTACTAGAACGACTGGCAGTCATGACTGACTATATGTACGAATCACCAGGCAAACCTGTATATACAGAGATTGTACCTCTAGTCTACACACCTGAGGTCTTACAGACATAAAATAAAAGCAATATGCGACAGAAAATATGACATTTTGAATGACATGAAAGAAAAACCTGTAATCTTATAACATTCTTTAATTAAAAGTATAACACAACACAACAGGAATACTTATTGAAAAATTAATAGTGCTATTTTCTCTTTTAACAGATTATATTCAGGTGACCTGTAAATCCACACACATACACACACACAAGTATGTAAACAGCCAGGAATATGGAATCATATTACTAGCAAGATGGCTGCAGAGAGCAGAAATACAAGCTCCCGAAAGTCCTTAACAGAGGCAAGCAGCTAGAGTAACACTGTGTGTCCAAGGCAGACCAAAGCAGCTCAGTTGTTTTGTCCCAACTCAGTAAGAATTTACACAGTCATGTCCTGGTGGTGCAGCAGTTAAGAGCTCGGCTGCTAACCAAAAGGTTGGCAGTTCGAATCCACCACCCGCTCCTTGGAAACTCTACAGGACAGTTCTACCCTGTCCTATAGGGTCACTATGAGTCGTAATAGACCGGACGGAAACGGGTTTGTGTTTTTTCTGTATACACTTCTATTTAGTGAAATATTTATAAGCATCAGGTTCTTCTAGTTCCTGAACCAAATTATCAAAACCACATCATCACCTAGGGTAAAGAAAATAGAATCAATGCCCCCCAGGTGTTCTTGAGTAGATCTGTTTCTACCTTTCCAGCTTCTAGACAGTAGATAGCCCACTTCCCCATAGCCCACTCCTGATTTTAATTTACACTCTGTGGTCCAAGAACTACTATCACAAATCTGTTTCCCCCATCAACAGACCCTGTCTTAGTCATCTAGTGCTGCTATAATAGAATTACAACAAGTGAATGGCTTTAACAAAGAGATTTATTATCTCACAGGCTAATAGGCTGAAGTCTGAATTCAGAGTGCCAGCTCCAGAGGAAGGCTTTCTCTCTGTGTCAGCTCTGGAGTAAGGTCCTTCTCATCAATTTTCTCCTGATCTAGGAGCTTCTCCGCGCAGGAATCCCAGGTCCAAAGGACTTGCTCTGCTCCTGGAGCTGCTTTCTTGGTGGTACGAGGTCCTCTGCTGTCTTCCCTTTCCTTTCATCTCTTGTAAGATAAAAGGTGAGGCAGGCCACACCCCAGGGAAACTCCCTTTACATTGGATCAGGGATGTGACCTGAGTAAGGGTATTACATCCCACCCTAATTCTCTTTAACACAATCTAATCTTGCCTCATTAACCACAGGCAGAGATTAGGATTTACAACACATAGGAAAGCTACATCAATCACAAAATGGAGGACAATCACATAATACTCAGAATCACGGCCTAACCAAGTTGACACAGATTTTGGGGGGACACAATTCAATCCATGACAGTCCCTAACAAGGACATCAAAGTATATGAACAGACATTTCTCCAAAGGAGATAATATGGATGTCAAATAAAGACATGAAATGATGCTCAATATCATATCATTACAGTAATGCAAATTAAAATCACAATGAGATCCCAGTATATACTTATAAGAATGGCTAAAATGAAAAAGGCAAATATGTGGAGCAACTAGAATTCTTTATGCATTGCTGGTAGGATTGCAAAATGGTACAGTCACTGTAGAAAACATTTTGGCAGTTTCATAAAAAAGTTAAACATACACCTACTACATGCTCCAGCCATCCCAGTTCTAAATATTTATTCTAATGAAATAAAAACTTACATTCACAGAAAAACCTGTACACAAAAGTTTAAAGCAGCATTATTCAAAATAGTCAGACAGTAGAAACAACACAAAGGTATTTCAGTGAGTACGTGCATAAATAAAACTGTGGTACATCCACACAGTGAAATACTATTCAACAATAAAAATGAATGAATTACTGATATATGCAATCACATGGATGAATCTTAACCACATTATATTAAGTGAAAGAAAGCAGTCTCATATCCTACTTACATGACATTCTGAAAAAGGCAAAACTATAGGGGCAGAGAAGAGATAGTGATTGTCACAGGTTGGGGGAGGGGGAGGGCTTGACTCAATGGGGAACAGCATAATGACACTCTTTGAGGTGTTGGAATTGTTTTGTATCCTACTTGTGATGGTGGTAATGAGAGACTATGCAGGTGCTAAACCTAATAGAACTATATACCAAAAAATAGTGATTTGTACTGTATGTTTTAAAAGTAACAAAAAGTGATTTAAAAATATATATTATTAAATAATATAAAGTATATATTTTTAAATCATAATCATATTTTAAAATCCTAAAATAATATATATACATATATTCACATATGTATCAATCAGGCAAACATAAACAAAAAAGAAAGCAGGGACTTGTGGTCTCCTTTTCAGCATGGAAAAAGCTTCGCATGCTTTGTTCCCATTGTCTCAATAAGAAAAAGGCTGAAAAACTGAACGTCAACAGCTCTTCTTAGATCCATCAGAGAACTGAGGTCACAGGGCAAACCGCCAACCTAAAAACTGGAGAGAGAGACAGGCTGATACAAGATTCACCACTAACTGGGTGTACAGACAGTCACCACTGGACTCAGCATCAGGTAGGATGGGTAACTGACTAACTTCTGGAAACTGAGCTTGAACTAGCTTGAGAGAGAAAAACTCCTGAAAGCCCAACCTCAGGGAGGATTACCACACCTTCATGAGTTCTACCTCCAGGAGTCCCATACCACATTCTCACTGTGAAGCTCAGAGAAAAATCTCCTCACATTTCTGGGAGGAAAAGAGAAAAAAAAAAAAAAAATTTTTTTAAATAGCTCTCTCTTTTCCTTAACAACTGGTCTGCCCACAAGGGATAATACTTTAACAGAGTCTAACTACTGAAAACCTTGTGAAGCACAGTTCTACCCTGATACATGAATCAGAACTTATTCAACAGCAACTGATTTAAGCGAGATAACCAAAAAAAAACCATTGCTGTCAAGTTGATTCTGACTCATAAAGACGCTATAGGACTGTCATAGATTCAATTATGTTCCCCAAAAACATGTGTATCAATTTGGCTTGGCCATGATTCCCAGTACTGTGTGCCTACCATTTTGTCATCTGATGTGATTTTCGTATGTGTTGTAAATCCTATCACTATGACGTTAATGAGATGGATTAGGGGCAGTTATATTGATGAGATCTACAAGATTAGATTGTGTCTTAAGTCAATCTCTTTTGAGATATAAAAGAGATAAGTGAGCAGAGAGACAGAGGGACCTCATACCACGAAGAAGGCAGCGCCAGGAACAGAGCACATCCTTTGGACCTGGGGTTCCTGAGCAGAGAAGCTCCTCAACCAGGGGAAGACTGATGACAAGGACCTTCCTCCACAGCCAAAAGAGAAAGAGAAAGCCTTCCCCTGGAACTGACACCCGGAATTGGGACTTCTAGCCTACCGGACAGTGGGAGAATAAACTTGTTTAAGCCATCCACTTGTGGTATTTGTTATAGTAGCACTAGATAACCAAGACCAAGACAGAGAAGAACTGCCCCATAAGGTTTCCCAGGCTGTAACCCTTACAGAAGCAGACGGCCGCATCTTTCTCCCATGGAGCAACTGATGGGTTCAAACTGCAGACCCTTCGGTTAGAATCCAAGCACTAATCCAAAGCACCTTTTAACCAAGACAGAGGTACAAAAATACCCACCTCCAGCTCTCTCTAACTTTTGATTGGGGCGGGGGGGAGGAATACACAGTAAAAGCATCCTCTAATCTTCCTGGCTCACCTAAGGGGTCACTAAAATGCTGAGATCTAATCATAGGATCATAGAATGCTTACCCTCTCTCCACCATCATACCACCACAGCAATATGATAAGAAGATTACAATTAAAAGAACATCTGTCCCTTTTATATGATACCTCATGTCTGGCTTTCAACAAAAAATTACAAGGAATGCTAAAAGGCAAAAAACATAAACTGAAGAGACAGGACAAACATCAGAATCAGACTAAGATATGAAAAATATTTTGGAATTATCAAACTGGGAATTTAAAATAATAATGATTAATATTCATCACTAGTCTTTCAGTTTGTCATACTGTGATGGCTTACATGTTGCTATGATGCTGGAAACTATACCATCACTATTTCAAACACCAGCAGGATCACCCATGGTAGGCAGGTTTTGGTGGAGCTTCTAGACTAAGACAAACTAGGAAAAAAGGTCTAGCAATCTACTTCTGAAAATCAGCCAAAGAAAACTCTATGGATCAGAACGGTCCAATCCCATTGTGTATATGGTCACCATGAGTCAAGGGCCAACTCCACAGCAGCTAACAGCAACAAAAATATTATTAATACACTAATGGATCTAGTAAAAAAAGTAGACAACATACCAGAACAGATGAGTAGTTTAAGCAAAGAGATGGAAACTCTAAAAAAAAGAATCAAAAGGAAATACTAGAGATCAAAAACACTGTAATGGAAATAAAGAATGCTGTTGATGGGCTCATCAGTAGGCTAAACACAACCAAGACAAGAAATCAGTGAGCCTGAAGGTTATGTCAATGGAAATTTCCCAAACTGAAAAGTAAAGAGAAAAAAA